ATCAAAGCCTCTGTGTCTATTCCAGAGTATTCCTTTCATTCTGCAAATGTCCGTTACCCGTTTTGTGAAACTATTATAATAAATGAAGCCGACACACAAAAAGAAGTTTCACATGTTCCAATTATTTTGTGTTTGAATACAAAGCCAGTTGCATATTTTACCCGCATGAACAGGGTAACATGTTTTAAAGAAAATGTGGCAATGATAAACAAGCACAGTTTATTAAGTTTAAAAAAAAAATTAACGAACACGTTGCAGGACTGAATCGCTTCATACACCAGTACAGAACATAAAAAATCAATTTAGCCGTCTTTATTTAATCGTAGAAAATATTAAAAAGTTCCACAGAACGAACGAAACCAATAGCAAGACATTATAATCGTTAATACAAATGTTCATAGAGGCTGATATACAACCTCCAGGTGTGTCGCTGTGTTTTATGTTTGTCAAACACTTTAAAAAAATGACCGAATTCCTGAATTTAGACAATTCGCACTTTAAACAAAGAATGTCATACTGTTTCTAATGGCTTAATTCAAGATTCAAAATAATAGTTTAATAGGGGGCTTGCGTTTCAGAATATATCGGCCACGTGTTTGGGGCACTGAGCAAGGGAGACCACGATATGAGGAAGAATACATTTTTGTGTGATGCACTGTCAATCAGATTTCTTCCTGTTTTCATGGAAGTTAAAACTATAATAATATAATATGAAACTGACCTGTTAGTTATGACACAGACACTGCTCAGCAGGTCCCCATCTCGATCACTGACATAAACAAGATGAGTAATTGATAAACTCTTATATGCACTTGTTGTGTAGTTAAAACTTAGAATGCAGACCTCCAAATGTTTAAAGGTTTAGTTGTCATCCAGTTCAAACTTCAAATGACTACCTGCAGATGTTACAAATGTTTAGTTGTCATACATTTAAAACTTCGAATTACTACCTCCAAATGTTAAAATGGATTGGTTGTCCAAATGTTAATCCAGTTAGAACTTCGAAGGAATTCCTCCAAATGTTAGTCAGGTTAGAACTTAGAATGACTACCTCTAAATGTTAATCCAGTTAGAACTTTGAATGACTGATTTCGACTGTTAATCAAGTTAGAATTTCGAAAGACTACCTCAAAATGTTAATCGGGTTAAAATATTGAATAACTTAGTCAAAATTAAAAGGAATTTTAATCCAATTATTCTAAACATTCGTCAGCAACTCTGACATATACTGATTATATTAAATGTTCTTTGGACATGTAGTTCGAACCGTAGAATCTTTACATTACTTTTATTTTCTTTTATTTTTGCTGAACTTGTAGTCCTTGTACTAGCTTGTATACATTTTACTGAACTTGTAGTTCAGCATGTACATAGTGCTTTTAACGTTTGCGGAACGTGAATTCCTTGCTCTAGCATGAACAAAGTCATTTAACTTTTTCTTAGCATTTCGTCTTAACTATGTTGTATACTAATACTATTTTTCCTGAATGTATAATCCTAACTCCAGGCTGCTTTGTTTGCATATTGTAGTCCTACATACAACCTATATCGATTACACTTAGTTTTCATGAATGTTTTGTCATAACTCTAAGCCTTTAAAAAAATGTTTTTATTTTATGGGAACTTTAGTCCTTAATATAGTCTGTACCAATTATTTAAAGTTTGCTGAACGTTTACTCCTAGTTATAGCCTATACAAACTGCCCTTATTTTTCTTGAACATCTAGTCCTAACTCGAACGAGCACGATTTGCTTTTAGTATTTCTGAATAAAAAGTTCAAACTTCAGCCTATAATCACTGCTTTTATTTATGTTGAACATCTCTAGTCTTAGTAAAAGCACACACGTATATAATTTGTTTGCTTAACATCTAGATCTCGCTGTAGCCTACGTGAAGCTTGTGTCCTGTCAGACATCTAACTCAGAATCCAGTCTACTTGAGGCTTATGTCATGTAAATGCACATGCTTTGACTTCAGCCAAAATGAATCTTACGTTCGGAACCAGTAAGGCTCGTCTCCTAGATAGCATTTAGCTACAGCCGTAGCCTGCGTGAGGCTTACGTCCTGCGCAAGATCTAGCTGTTGCTCTCGCTTCTGCTAGGTTTATATCTTGTTTAATATCTATCTCTGACTCAAGCCTGTTTAAAATCTACCGCTGATTCTAGCCAACGCGAATCCGATATCTTTTTTAGTATATAACTCTGACACTAGGCTACGTGAATCCTGTATCCTGCTTAAGATCTAGTTCTAACTTCTAGTCCACGTGAGTCATGTATCCCGTTTAACATCCATCCTTAACTGCATGAGTACCGTATCCCGTTTAACATCCACATCTGACTCTAGTCCACGTGAGTCCTGTATCCTGCTTCACATCTGCCCCTGACTCAAGTCCACGCGAGTTATGTATCCTGTTTAACAAATACCTCTAACTCTAGCCTCTAGACTTATTTCCTGCGGACATCTAGCTTGGATTCTAACCTACATGATGATTATGTTCTGCTTAATAGCTCATTCTAATTCTAGCCAGCGTAATGACTAGGTCATCATTCACATCTAGATATACCTCTGGCATAGATAAGGTTTATGTCTTTCATGACAGCCTAACTCTCGCCTATGCGAGTCGTCTGTCCTTTTAGACAGTTAGCTCTGACTCTAACCTACCAGAGGCTTGACTCCTGCTAGACATCTAGTCCTGATGTTTACCTATGTGAGGCTTGTGTCCTGTTAGACAGCTAGCTCCTACACTAGCCTACGTGAGGTTTATGTCCTGTCAGACATCTAGCTCTGACTAAGCTGAGCTATGTTTCCTGCTAGACATCCAACTCCGACTCTAGCCTATCTAAAACTTATGTCCTGCTGGACACAGCTCTGACTCCGGCTTGCCTGGGCCTTGTGTCCTGCTAGTCATCTAGTTTTGACTCTAACCCACGTGAAGCATATGTCCTGCTACAAGTCTTGCTCTGACCGTGGCACACGTGAAACTTATGTCATTCTAAACGTCTACTTCAGACTCTGGGATACGTAAGACTTATATTCTGCCAGACATTTTCTTTGGTATAATTGTAACGATATGCACAAAAAGTAAACATAAAAATAAAGGCTGAACAGGAATATATACAATTTGCTGTATTTTATTTCAAGCGAACATGTTTCAAATTTAATACCCTCTTCAACTTTAAACTTCGCTTCGAGTATTTATACCATCTTTTCACTTAGCTCTTAATCACGTGATGCATATAAAGTACGCACCAAATTCATCCATCCATCAATTCTTCCATCCATCGTTGTTGTTGTTGTTGTTATTGTTGGGTTTAACGCCATTTTCAGCACACTATATGCTATACATGTCGGCCATCCATCGTGCTGCTCATTAAACAATCTTTTGTCGTGTCTCAACACCATAGTAATATAAGGCTATAAAGACTGATAGGCAATGTATGGTTCGTGCATATATGAAGTAACAGGCCACCAAAATCCCATAGCCACGTACAAGTTTATCTTCTAAACCGAGTTTAGCTGGATGTTTTTAAAATACTGACTATATGCTTTTGGGAACTTATTTAAAGAAATTAATTAAAATACACACTTGTCTATATTGAGATGTTAAAATCTTAATACAACACAAACATACCTTGGGTAATAATTGCTATTGGTGCCAAGACATTTTCGTTGACTTTTTTTCACGAATACATTGTAATCGCGTGTGTAAGTACTATTTTCTCTCTCTCTCTCCTTTCGTTAAATATAGAACACTCTTGTATCTCTTAGATGCAGTGCCCATCTTCATTTCAATCGATTTAATGCAACTATGGTTATTAATCATTAATGAAAATGCACCCATGCATTACCTAAAGCTTCATTGGATGTTACGAAACTAACGGAGGTCATTTGTGTTGTTGCTGCTTGTTTTGATTTATTTGTAGAGAACAAGCAGGAATATACAGACATTCGCTATTTAGTGTGAACTTGTATTAAATGTCGTTATTGCTCTTTTACACATGTATATCGCTATATCGTGTAGGGCTAAAATGTTCCTAATGCTCATTTTTGTGTTAGCTTCGTTCCAAAAGAAGTACAGAATCTTCATCAATAATGCAAGCTTTGCATTGGCGGATGTGTCGATTTTTATGATAATTCTGTATTAATGCGTGCGATAATGTTTTAAGAATTATGTACGGTCATTGAAATGAATTACTAAAACTAATCATGGATTGAACTTCATATTTTATACAACCCACAAAACGATAAAACTTGAATTTCAATTATACCTTGCATGAAAAGACTAATGAGGTAAAAAAATGTAAATGCATAGTGTGCAATCGAATTTCAATTTTCATGACAAAGCCATTGAAGTATGGGATGCAATTCCTATAAATACAAATAGTTTCAAAATCAATATCAATAAATTTAAATTTAAATTTAAAAAAAAACACTTTATGTTAGTTATTCTTTACAATTACTTTCAAAATATTAAAATGCTTTTTTTAAAAAATTCAGTCACAAAGGTGTAATATTATTAGCATTTCAAGTAAAGTGTGTTTTGGTTTTGAATATTATTCATCTAAAAGTTCTAGATGAATTCATTTGCGGGAGTTTTGTGCTTTTGAAATGATAAGATGAACAATGTCCACAAATGTACGAACAAGTAATCAAAATGGAGTAACATTAAATAATTATAAAATGTCACTCTTGATATAGGCTTTTAAAAATGCTTAATTCATTTCAGATGAAGTGGCATGAAAGACACTTTGCTACATACATAGTTTATGTGTTTATAGCACAAAAGAAACGTCGTCAGCTGTGACTCCTAACGTTTCTCCGCGAGATTCAAGCTTATCGTGCCAGGGACATAAAACAAAATATTTTTTATTATCTTTTTATTGTGCTACGCCAATAGTTGAGACCTTATTTTTTTTTAGAATTTACTCGTATATCTATGTTGATATGTCATAATGTAGCTTATCCTAAATGACACCAATATTTTACTTGTAGCTTTAGCAGCTCCAGTGGCCTAGTGGTTAGAGCGTCTGCTTCAGATGCTGGAGGTTGTGGGTTCGATCCACGGCCGAGACATACCAAAGACTTACAAAAATGGTACTAACTGCTGCCTCACTTTGCGCTCAGCAATAAGAGTTTAGTGTTAGGACTGATCAGCCTGGTGTCAGGATAACGTGATTGGGTGGGACATCATGCTACGTGACTGCGGGATGATGTACCAGTGATAGACTTCACTATAAACTGCCACACTGCAGACCTCGTAGCAATAGGACTAGAAAATTGTTAGAGCTACGTTCAAAATCCAAATCACAACACAACACAACACAATACAACACACGCTTTAGCAGCAGTATCGGATCACGTGAATTGCTGGGGAGTGTGGATTTCGAACATTTAAAATGGACCCTAAATTTTATCAAAAGGACACCAAAGTAAAAGTCTTTGCCTGATTGCTCAAATACCCAATAAACATGCGCAAGAATAAAACCATACTCGAATTTCATGGGACAAAACAATGTACATTCGTGAGGTTTTTTTAGCATACGTTGTCCAGGAACCCCACCCCACCTCACCCCACCCTGCCCACCAACCCCCACCCCCTAATTTGACCCTGATACGTAAGGGTATTGAAAACTAATAGTGGTGTTAAGATTTACCCTTGAGAACCTTTTACGGTAACCTGAAATGGTTCACTTACAACACCATTGCAAGAAATAGCTTGAGATCTGTTGTTAAAATTAGAGCTAACGAAAGATGTTTAGTCTGATGATCCGAAATCAATATTGTTGATAGTACATTATTGTGCTTGATCAGGTTGTGTTGTGTTGTGATTTGAATTTTTAACGTAGCTCTAACATTTTTCAGTCATATTGCTACGATATCTGCAGTGTGGCAGTTTATAGTGATGTCTATCACTGTGGCATCATGCCATAGACATGCTGCATCGTGTCTTGACACCAGTCCGATCAGTCCTAATACTAACCTCTTAATGTTGAGCGCCAAGCGAAGCAGCTCTTTGCACAAATTTTATAATTTTTTTTTTAAGTTATGACTTGGCCAGGGTTAGAACCTCCTGTATCCGAGGCTGATGATCTAACCACTGCGCCACTGAAACAGTCACCAAGTTACAGTCGAAAAGGCTTGATAGAGAAAGAAGGGTGAGGAATAAGGCGTCTCTAACTCGTCATCAACACTGATAAGGGAACGACCGGAATCGACCTGGTTATTTATGCAGGCTCGACAAGCAAATGGGTTCGGTCGTTCACTCAATTTCATGTAAACATTTATTTCATCGGTATAACAGAACGGATAATTGCATTCTTTATAAATCTTGTAATTTTATTTGTAGGAGACCGTGTATCATTCAAATTAGATGATGAATTTGATTTTCTTTATGTAATTGATTACATTGTTATATTTTACACTCGGGGGTTCATTTTGTTTTTTTGTCTGTATCTCTGCTCAGGTATATGTTATTCCATCCATTAATTACATATTTAATTATTTATTTAATCAGGGCACTAACATCGTAGTCGATTATTTCATATATATGGTCAATGTAATGTTTGTTTTTAATTCCGTCCTGTCCAGCAGATTTTTTTGTGAATAATGGACTTACTAAATTTAAGATCATCTAAATTTTCAGTAAGTGAAATTTCAAACTTGATTCCTACCGGAAATTTGATACTTTAGATAGAAAATCTATTTTTTTTTATCAAAGCATCAGCAGGATTGTTGCAAATTATACCTTTTTTTCTAAAGCAACATTAATAAATTATTCCTTAAAAAGATTTCATATTTTTATTATCTGTAATTTCAGACATTTTACACAATTTATTCAAGAAAACATTTTCATGATTGACTAATAACAAGGTAATCTAAATTGAGATTCAGCAGAAAGCTGGAAATTTTTTGAAAACTGTCTTCTCTATTACACTGAACTTTAGACAACCAATAATTGTCTACGGACTGGAAGTATATAAATCATATACAAATATACAAGTATACTTTATCAGTTCTAGTATATATAATTATTTCAAAGATAATTTAACAGTAGGAAAGATAGATGGAATACACTTGCGTGGTTGTGACATGTGTGTATCCTGTGTGTTCATTTGAAAGTCGTTTCTATAATTTTATGAAGGTTTGCACTACCAAAACTATTTGCTTATTAATTTCGTTAGAATACATCCGATTGCCGGATAATAATCTCTTAATTGTAAGTCAGACCAGTAATATAATGAGAATCCAACGTCTCTGAGATGTACGTTTTTGACAGTCTAATATAAAGTGTCCCGCTGTCCCTACTTGCCTGCGTGTAAAGTACCTATTGTTAAAAACATGATTTATGAATAAAACGTTAGTTAAGCTACTGTGATGAACTTCATAAACCTGAACACCAACAAAATAACAAGGACGAATTATGCGTTTATCCGATTCAGGTAACTTTTAGTGGATGGGCTACTTATTACTTCCGTCAGTAACGAGGGCCACTGATGGATTTGTTGAAGGCTGAAATAATTTCTCGAGCAATGTTGTTCAGCACAAAAGAGGTCGAATTTAAATGTAAAAAAAAAAAAGTTATCTGCTCTTTTTTAAAATTTACCTCTGTAGTCTAGGAAATTAAAACGACCAAGCGGAACTAGCAGTTTTTTGGGAAGGTGAACATCTGAAATAAAGCCCAGCTGTATACTCTATAAAAATCCATAATACACATACCAATCATACATCAAGACAAAATGAATTATAAGTTCTTTGAACAATATTTTTAAATATACAAGTTCTTTGTTTTATAAAGTCATTATAACCAGTGAGGAAAACATAGGAAATTCTTTTCTGTAAATATCTAACCCTAAGCAAAATACGAAACCTTAGAGCGCAACTATAATACCTAAGTATTTATGCGGGAATACGTCTGTAATATCTGCGCTGGACATCTACAGTTTTGGGATTGTTACTTCGATTTTGTTTGCTTGTTATGAGCTGTTTTCGCTAGGGTAAAGATCGTTAGCTAAAGACGGGACCAGTCCTGCAATTTTTATCTCTTCAAAGTTATAATTTGACAAGACTCATTTGGATGTTTACAAATATTATATTTAGTATAGTCAAAGTAATGGCTGTACAGTAAGTATATCATTTAGGATATTATTTATGTATGCTATAAATAATAATGGTTCAAAGATAGATCCTGGAGGGACTCCAACATTTGTAAATTGAAAATCCGAAAATTGTTAATTCAGGACACCTCTGTTTTTTTTTCATGATGAGTAACGTTCTAAACAAAAAACGTAAACTTCCTTGAACACCGATCTTACCAAGTTAAACAAGTAATCCAGAATGTTAGAAGAGATAAAGCGCTTTTTTTATATCAAAGAAAACGGTGATAACTTCCTTCATGGCTAAACAAATGGTATTATGAATATCTAGTATCTAATGTATTGTAGGATAGACAGGTGTAAAACAATAAAGTCATTTTAAACAATGTAATTATGTAAATGCAAATATTTGTTAACACATTATTCACATACCTTGGACAAAATACAAATGAGTCATACTGGACGATAGTTGAAAAATTTGTTCTTCCTTTTTATATAATGAGACCACGTTTGCTAAATTTCCAGGAATCTGAAAAACGTATGGTCTGAAGAGGAAATTTAAAAATCCGACACAGTTGATAATTGAACCTGCATTTCTTCTGAGTAACTTGGGATGCAGCAAATCTGGACTACACCATCTGGATTCATTTAAACCATTAATAACGCTATCATTGGATTCACTAATATTTGATGCAAGAAATAGCGGGATACGGAAACTGATATTCCTCTAGTACAGTAAGTTGATATTGTGTCATATTATCAAGTTGTATTCTATACTATTCGCAGAAGAAATCGTTGAATATTATAATGGCCCGTTCGAATTCAATGAATCACAAAATTTCTTTGTAGACTTACGCTGGTTGTCTTTAACAAGTTTCCATCACTCTTTATAATGATCTGAACAATTTTTCATTGCGTCAGCCAATTTACTGATTGTGGAAATATTTAGATTCACGCATATCATTAATAAGTTTATTTCTTTGTGACGATATGACAAATAGTGTTGTGAAATTTGCAAGGGCTTTTTTTCTCTATCGTAAAGCCGCTTGCTTTATGTCTAAAGAATTTTCTAGTTTCATTGTTCATCCAGGGTGGGTCTTTAACACGAATAGTACCCTTTTTGTTTTTTTGTGGTACAGTTTCACTTACTGCATCTCAAAGTATACTTGTGAATTTTTTAAGGTGGCATATACTGGGCAATGGTATCTGACTCATAAAGAGCAAAATCTAACAGGGTATCCAGCACTAGATACCAATTCGGAGTCTGACACCATTATTACATCTAAATCTCAGATAATTCGGTAAAATTTGTCGTTTCTTGTGCAATTTGATGTAGATTACAAGAACGTCATAGCGGAATTATTTTGTTGTTAGGAACTAGATAATTTTCATTAAATTCTCTCATAACCAGGGAGACTGGTTTAGCGTTCTGGGCTCTCTCAATGCTTAATTCAATATGATTCCAAACAGATCATTCGCTGCTTTGGTGGTCTGTATAGCTTTCCAAGCACTAATTTCTTCTATTTAAAGTTATTCCTACCCAAATACATTCTAGCCCCAGACATATCATAGAATTACAGCATTCAGGAATGTTTCTTTTGACTCATATAGCTATAGTGGGTTTTTTTTATATCCCTGCAGAATGAATCGGAAAAAAATATAATACAGACATTTAATTGTTGGAAGTGAATTCGTTAAGCCAAGTTTCAGTAAAACACAGTACAGTATATCAAACTGCATTGTATTTGGATGAATCAAGTCAATTTTATATTTCAAACTCTGAGCACTAAGATGCAGGCCCAAGATTAGGTTGATGTGACACATAGTGTCAGGTCCAGGATTAGGTTGTTGTGACACATAGTGTCAGGTCCAGGATTAGGTTGATGTGACACATAGAGTCAGGTCCAGGATTAGGTTGTTGTGACACATAGTGTCAGGTCTAGAATTAGGTTGTTGTGACACATAGTGTCAGGCCCAGGA